TCATGTTTCTATTATTAAAAAATTGATAATTTTAAGGATGATATATAGCAATAACACTATCCTTTGCACATTGATTTCATTTTTTAGGACTTTCCTCATATTGCCCAAACACACTTTTTAAGCAAGAGATCCCTGATTCAAAGGTGCTAAATTGCGAGCGAGCCAGAGAGAGAGAGAGAGAGCGCAAATACAAGGTTACACAATTGAAACGTTCATGTTACTTTTAGCTACTTTACTCTCTACAACCAAAATGTAGCTTAAGTCCTTACAACAAAGGAGAAGGAGTTGATCATCAAGAACAACCCATTTACCTCCCACTTCAACTTCTCAAAGGAAGGGGGGGACCTAACCGTATAGCATCTCCTCAAAACTCATCACTCCCTAAACGATCGATACGGGCGTGATTGCTCGACCCTCCATCCCTCACCATCGGCGCTCGAAGTCCTTCCATAGAGAATCCATGAGTAGTACTAATTGGAGCTCCAAAACACGAGTACGTCGACTGATGATTCATTGGTCGTTGAGAACTGCTCGGCAAAACATGGCCAATGAAGTAGTCTCCGACAGGATTATTGGGGTGAAGAGGCGGCGGAGGGTAAGAAGAAGAAGCAAATACTGGCCGAAACTGGAGGCAGGGATCAGCTCCGGTGACAGCGACTCCTCGGGGGTGGAAGGGTTGTGTGGGGCCCATGGGGAAGTCTCTGTACCTTTGCACATAGAAAGGATCAAAGTAAAGTTTCAAGGTGGTGGGGATAAGTTAGCAGCACTAGCTAGCATGGTCCATGTTGTATATGCGCTCATAAATATAGCTTGAGAAACCCTAATGTAGCTCATATATAGGCATAAAATTTCAGAAATTACCCTAGCTATATGAGGTCCTAAGTAGTTTGAACTGAGAACCAATGTGTTCAGCGTGTAAGAATCTAGCATGGTCCATGTATATGCTTTTCAATAACATAAGAAACCCTATTTGCATAGTCATAATTTTTTTGATATATGTGCTCATAAATAGCTTGAGAAACCCTAATGTAGCTCATAGGCATAAAGTTTCAGAAATTACCCTAGCTATGTGAGGTCCTAAGTAGTTTGAACTGAGAATCAATGTGTTCAGGGGTGTAAGAATCTAGCATGGTCCATGTATATGCTTTTCAATAACATAAGAAACCCTATTTGCATAGTCATAAGTTTTTTTCTTTTTATACAAAATTCGAAGAAAAACCTATATGAGCTTTTTTAGTAGTATGAATTAAGAATAATATGATTCAGGGATGATCTAAATAAGCAGGTATGTAGTTGGAGTCTACCATGGTCCATATATAGTCATGAATAACAAGGCAAACCCCAATTTCATTACCATAAAAATCAGATAAAAATAACTAAAATAAGTAGGTATGCGTAGTTAGAATCTAGCGTGGACCTTATATATTCGTTTATAAAATGAAAAATTTCACAAAAATGTTCTAAAAAGACTTTGTGAGTTTTTTTAGTAGTATATCTGAATTATGAATAAAGGACAGGGTGATAAAAATAAGTAGGTAGAATCTAGCATGGTCCATCGATCTATGTGCTCCATAATACATAACAAGAGAAACCCTATTTCATAAGCAAAAATCAGAAGAAAAAAATAACAAAAATAAATATCCTATATTATCTTCTTATAATAGAAGCTAAGAATCAAAGAATTCAAGATAAATCAAAAACTAGGCACTCGAACTTTCAATCATAACATAACAAACCCTAATTCTAAAATTGACGAGTTAAGATTTTACCCTGTGTGAGCTCCAGGACTACCAAGACCTTCATTACCAAACACAAGCTGACGAGCACGGTTCAGTGTCTCAGTCTCCCTCTCTAATAAAAGTAATCAAAAAAAAAAGGAAAAAAAAAAGAAAAAAAGACTTAGCATACCATGAATAATGAATTATAAACTCCTTAAGATATTTATTAAGAAAAAACAAAGAACTGAATTATGTTCATAAGCTAATTACCTTGTCGGTGTCGGTTCATATGACCACCAAGAGCCTGAGACTTGCAGAACTTCAAAGCACAGAATCGGCACTCATAGACTTTACCATCATCCTTCCCTCCATTCCTTTTCTTCTTGAATCCTGAAAATTATGGTAATTAATATTTTGATTATTAAATACTAATCAAACAAGGGAAAGAAATAATACACTACTAAAATTCTTACTAATTATGTCAGTGGAGGCTGCTGTTGTTGTTGAGCTCTCTTCAATAGGAAGCTTGCCATGGTCTTCAGGTAAATTGTTGAGATCCAAAGGGTTGCCTTCTGGTCTCCTACATAAGAACAAAAAAAATCAAAAAACAAAACCCAAAAAAGTATGATTAGATTTGATTAGTAAAGAAAAGATGAGAGAGAAGGGTTTTCTTTCGCTTTTACATGATGAGAGCGGAGTTAAGGGAACTGGAGATAGAGAGGGAAACAAATGAAACCTCAGATGAGGATTAGAAATGTGGTAGTGAGATTTTGAGAGGCGAAAGACTGCAGTTAGCCGTCGTTTTCTCTCTCCTCTCCTTACCTTCTCTCTCACTCACTCACTCACTCTCTCTCTCTCTCTCTCTCTCTCTCTCTCTCGTTCCTTACATCTTTCTCTCTCTAGCGCATCGGTTTCCGTGACTGAGAGAAGACAAGGGGCTTTCTGTGAGTACTAGGGTTTTTTTTTCATCACGTCTCTTTCTTTGATTATATAACATTATTATGAACACCCTTGTAAAACACTAGTTTGCATGCAAGTCATTAAGCATTATTTTCTCTTTTTTGTTTTCTCCGTCTTTTTCTTAATTTGATTAAGATTAGAATGAAAATAGAATACACAACAATCAGGGTGAAAGTAAGCCCTGTTTATATTAAAATTGAATTATAGAAACACTCAGGAACTGGAAAATAATGATTCTTAAAGTCTCTTTGCTTTATTTCATAACTTCAAATTGTGATGAAAATTGAGGATTATAATTCTTTACAAATTTAACATGTCTCTGTAGGATCGAAAAATGAGGTTACACAATGATATATATTTATGAATATATACGTGATTACAAGACTTCGGATCTGGATTGCTCTAATATCATGTTAAAGTTTATTCATTGTTAGACTTCTAAAATTGATATAAGGCTTGAGACTTGTAATTTTATGCTCTAAAAAGGATGAATACATAGTCTACTACTGAATGCACAAACATTGGACAAATGATTGGATCCAAATTCTTATAAATAATGTTCCTTATAGTTTATAAGAAACCACCCTCCACAGCCTAGCTAGCTAGGACTTCATTTGTTGTTGCTTACATCTATTGAGAAAGAATTCGATACCAGCTACCTAGAAAAATGTCACTTGGCTACTTACAAGTTTTCCTTCTAGATCATTACTATAGTGACGTAAGTAATATACAAATATTTCATTAAAGCTAAATTAGATAACCAGTATTACAACTCGAGTCATGCTATGTTGAATATATTTTTTGTTAAATTTATGGGCATTTTTTAATTGCGTGATGAAGGTAAACTGCAGTCTACAACACCTTCATGATTAAAAAAACTAAGCCATAAAAATTGTTGAATTAATCTTGCTTTCACACATTCAGTACTCTATTATCTACTAATGTACTTACAGCTTAGATACTTGTTTCCTCAGTAATTGGACAGCCAAGGATGAGATAAATCTTAGGATTAGACCACGAATTTAAAATGGATTTTCCAAAAATAATTGGTATTGCTATGTTAGTTCAGGTTTCGATCTATAAAAAGGGTGTTCAAACTGTCGACACGTGTTGGAAGATAAAATATAATCTTCAATCCTCACGTTAACTTTGGAGTTTTGATATAATGGTTAGAGAGACTTTCACATTTTTATTAGCCAAATTTGGGTTAGAGTTTCAGATTATGTATCTAGCCTGATCGCAAGGCCCTACTGGTTTTGTGAGCACGAGACACCTCAGGGTGTCTCGGCGCGCGAGCTCGGCGCGCGAGACACCTACACCCCGAGGTGTCTCGGCACCCGCCGAGACACCCTGAAGTGTCTCAGCACATGAGACACCTCGGGGTGTCTTGGGTGTAACCGGAGCGGTCAGGTTGTTTTCGTTTTGGACCATGTTTCCTTGATATAAATAGGAACTTCGTTCCTAGGATTTTTTGTAGAGTAGAGGGACTATCATCAACAAAAAAAAAGAGAGTTTTTCAGATCTGAAAAAGGTGAGATCTTGAGGAGAGAAAAGAGAGAGTGCTTGGAGAGATTGTCCAAGAAAGATGTCATCTTCTCTTGGGTAAAATCAAAGCCTCATCTTTAGAACGAGCTTGTGGTATGTGCAAGTTGTTGATATTCTCCATCATAGTGGAATCTCCCTTCTCCTCTCCCCCCCTCCTCGTTGACATAGGCAAGTTTGTCGAACCACATATATCTCATGTTTTCTTTATTGTTCTTTGTGTATTGGCTATTGCTTGTGTTAGTTTCCTCGATATTCAGACATTGACTTGATATCGGGAAGAGGGTATATCTCACCTCACTGAGATATTCACTTCTGTTCTTATTTCATATCAAAACTGGAACATCGAGGTTGGCTTGAGTTTTGTGAAAACAAAAGCTAGGGCTTTCTCTCGAGGTGATTTGCTTCCGTGGCGAGTGGGCGTGTCGGCCCCCAACAATTGGTATTAGTGCCCTTGTTCAGATTGGGGGTGGTAGAGCTTCCGATATGAGGTGGTGCTTGGTTATTATATGGTGTACACAAAGTGTTTGTTGAAATTCCTAAGAGAAACGGATTTACTAAAACAAGCGGAGAATAGTGTCTACCAGTAAAACAGTTAAAGTTAAAAAGTATGATATTAAAAAGTTTAATTGGGAAGAATAATTTTTCTTATTGGAGGATGCAGATAAAAAATTCGTTGGTTTTGCAAAAATTGCACAAAGCTTTGGCAGGAAGAGAAAAGAAGCACAAAGATATATCTGATGAGGATTGGGAAGAGTTAGATCTCGAAACATGAGCATCGATTATCCTATGCTTTGAGAGGGATGTAACTTTCTTGGTGGATGAAGGGGCAACAACGGCGGGTATGTGGTCAAAGTTAGAGAGTACCTTCATGATGAAGAGCCTAACAAATCGGATCTACTTAAAATCTGAATTGTATACTTGCAAAATAGAGGAATGCCCATTATTCTGGGAGTACATCAACAAGTTCGATAGGATCATATAGGATTTGAAGGACATTGATGTGAAAGTAGAAGACGAGGATCAAGCACTTCTACTACTTCTTTCTTTACCAAAGTCTTATGAGAACCTGGTACAAACGTTGATACTCGTAGGTGATAACTTGAATATGGATGAGACTAGAACATCGATTCTAGCGGATGATCTTTAAAAAATTACAACTAGTGACATGGCTACTAGTGGTAACAAGAGCAAGCATATGGATTTTTTGTAAGAGGAAGGAGCAATGAGCAAGGAAAAGGCAAGGGAGAAAAGTCTAGATCGATATCAAGACCTCTTGCAGTAAGATCATGTTTTAAATGCAATGAACTTGGACATTTTAAGGTCGACTGTCCTAATAAGAGAGTAGGTGGGAAGAAGAACAACAAGAAAAATGAGAGAAGAGAAGGCAAGGAAGAGGCGAGCTATGTCTCAAAGGAAAGGAGCGATAAAATGCTATTTCGTTACGTACGGTGAAGATATCTCCGGTAAGTAGATTCTTGATTCGAGTTGCTCTTATCATATGTATCCAAATAGGAAGTGGTTTACTGCCTATAGGAGCATTAATGGTGGAACCGTATTGTTGGAGAATAACCATACTTGTAAAACAGTGGGGCTTGGTGATATCAAAATCACGATGCATCATGGAGTGGTCAGAACCCTGACGGATGTGAGGCATATCCCTGACTTACGGAAGAATCTTTGGGGGTTGGTTTATTTATGGCCCACTAGATTACGAGTAATAAATTTTCTGAGTTGTCATGTTCAATAGAATACCTCTGTCAACCACAAAATCTATAAATTCCTGCCACGTTAATATCATACCTCTGACAATTAACTTATCGACTCTCTTCAATAGAACAATAAGTTCTCAAAGTTGCTCCGATCACAACACATTCTTGTCACGTTAATATCACACCTCTGACAATCAACTTATCGACTCTCTTCAATAGAGCGATAAGTCCTCAAAGTTGCTCCGATCGTAACACATTCTTGTCATGTTAATATTACATCTCTGACAATCTACTTGTCAATTCTCGTCAATAGAATGATAAGTTCTCAAAATTGCTCCGATCGTAACAAATTCATGTCACGTAAATATCACACCTCTGACAATTAACTTATCGACTCTCTTTAATAGAGCGATAAGTCCTCAAAGTTGCTCCGATCGTAACACATTCTTGTTATGTTAATGTCACACCTCTAACAATCAACTTATCGAACATCTTCAATAAAGCGATAAGTTCTCAAAGTTGCTCCGATCGTAACACATTCTTGTCATGTTAATATTACATCTCTGACAATTTACTTGCCAATCCTCGTTAATAGGATGATAAGTCCTTAAAGTTGCTCCGATCGTAACAAATTTCTGCCATGGTAAAATCACACCTCTGACAATCAACTTATCGACTCTCTTCAATAGAGCGATAGGTCCACAATCTTGTCACGTTAACAGAACACCTCTGACGATCAAATCAACTTATCGACTCTCTTCAATAGAGCGATAGACCCATAAAATACTGTTATGTTAAAATCACACCTCTAACAGTTAAACTCTCTAATGAACTTGTTAATCCTTTTTCAATAAGAATAGCAAATTGTTATTATAAAATCCCCAGCCGACTAAAGATTTTCTAGAATTATCCTAGTAATAATAAAGAAAATTTCTGAATTTTACTCTAAGTAAAAATTCATGTCAAGTTAATACTACACCTCTGGCACTTCCAACTTTCTTTCAGTGTTTCAAATAAAAACATAATACAGAAAGAAACAGTGGCAAAGCCTACATATTTAATATCATAGCAGGTTGTTATTAATAACACCAGAATCCATGTCTTACACGCATGAGAGATTTTATCTCGATCCATAATTAGAGATAAGTCTACATCTAACACATCTTGTCGGTTAGCCTATTCCCGCAATAATGGCGAAGTCTACGTATTCAATATCGTAGCGCTAAAAATCCATACCTTACACACATGTGAGACTTTATCTTGACCCCTAATTAGAGATAAGTCTGCATCTAACACATGCTGTCGGATAGCATATTCCCACAATAATAAAAAAGTCTACGTAGTCAACATCGTAGCATCAAAAATTAATGTCTTTCATGCATATGGTAATTTATCTTAATTCCTAACTAGAGATAAGCCTACGCTTAACACGCATTGTCGGGTAGTCCATTCCCGTGAAATTAACAAAGTCTATATATTTGGCATCATAGCACTAAATCTAAGAGAGTTTATTCTTTTTGCACAACGTTACATGTGGAACGAACTTAGACAATCAGCATGCTAGCCCAACTTAAAC